GAGTTTTCCCCCAAACCTGGCAGGTCAAGCTACATTTTGGTCAAACCCGGGTTGGTGAATCGAATCATTTTGGGAGTTTTTCCCATGGCGATCGCCAAAGCAGAATCGAAATCGAGCTGCGACACGACCCGGTCGTTCGCGGTACCCACGATGACCCAGACGTGCATGCGTCCAGACACAAGCAGGGTTCGAGCGGCACCAATGCAATGCGGAAGCACACGGCGAACCAACTAAACATATAGCAGGTTACAAGCACTCTTAGAATCTGAACATTACAAAGTTTTACACATCTCAGCTTCTAGAAATTTCAGAGAGAGAGAGAGAGCAAGGGTTCAGGTTCAGAGAAGAAACAGAGGCAGCAGGGGGCATTGAGGAGGAGGAGCAGCAAGGAAAGCAGAGTAGCAGCAAAGGGAGATTCAGAGACAGAGCAGCAAGGGTTCAAGTTCAGAGAAGGAGAAGCACTAGGGAACGGAGGAGAGAAGAGGCAGCAGTTGTAAGCCGATGAGCAGCAGCAGCGTTGAGAGGAGAAGGAGGAGCAGCGAGGCAGGGATCAGCAGCAGTAGGTTGAAGGAGAAGGAGCACCAGCGTGGCCAAGACGGCCTGTCAGTCGGTGGGTCGGGTTGGATCGGATCGGACCGGACTGCGGCAGCGACGGCAGTGTGGGGAACGTGGTGGGTGCCTGCCGCGGCACCGGTGATGGTGGTGGTGGGTGGCGGTCGTCCTCTCCGCCTCCTGCCTCGGATCGGACTGCGGCGGCAACGGCGACGTGGGGAATGCGGTGGGCGCCTGCCGCGGCGCCGGTGGCGGTGGTGGTGGGTGGCGGTCGTCCTCTCCGCCTTCTGCCAGCCGCTCCGACGAGAGAGACACGGGGCGCGGGTGGGGTGTGGAGGGGAGGGAGAAGCGGGCGGGGTGACCGCATCTTGGGCAGACAACAACAAAGAGGAGAGAGGCAGGAGAAAACAGCGAGGAGGAGAGGGTAGGAGGGGGAGGGGAGGGGCGTGACCTTGAGGGGGAGTGGTGGCTGCGCGGCGGCGGTTGTGCGGCAGGGGAAGTGCGAGCGCGGCGTGATGGGAGGAGGACGAGTGGAAGAGGGCGGCGGCTAGGTTTCCTGCGAGGGAGGAATGGGAGCAGGGCTGTACACGTGAAAAGACCAAAATGCCCATTGGAGGGCACCGAAATAACAGGCGGTGGCACACCAGAGGACGCACAATTCGATCCGACGACCCAGATTGCTCCGTCTGAACATCCGACGGTCTGGATCGTTTTGGACAGCCAATCCAACGGCTGAAAATCCAAACGCACGGGAAGGCTTCATTTTGGTCTGGACTCTATATGAATGCTCACAATTTCAGAACTGCGTGGAAAATAAAGAAAATGAAAGATGTTCAGCATCTGTATCAGTCAACTATTTGCAGCTGATGCTTGGAAAAAGAAGAGGTGTATAAAGAAAGATGCAAGTAAATGCAAAAGGAAAGAAGATCCGTGGCTATCAATTTGTAAGCTCGGAACAAAATAAAGTAATAAGATAAGCTGGATCCATGGTTGACCAATATATGTAGCCAAAGATATGAAAAACCAGTACCTTTGATATATTGTAGCATCAGTGCCGCTTGCTCGGAGCGCAGAACAGTGTGCTCTAGTTCATAGAAGATGTCCATGAAACAGTTAGAAAGACGTGGAACAATTTGGCTAATACAGATAGTAAGACGGTAACTGTGATAGTAGATGGATAGGTATAGTGACTAATACAGATAGTAAGATGGTAACGGCGGCGTAGAGGAGGGGCTAGGTCAGGGGAGTGGAGGGGAATGTGAGGAGAGGAGGAGAGGTGGACGAAGTGTGTGTACAATGCTTAGTAAGCTACTCGCAAGCAGTGGCCTGCATTGAGCAAATCACCTTCATGTTTCTAGCCATTCAGATATAATATTAAACTGTATTCACATCTAATAAATATCACTAGGATGGTGTTCATTGCTACAAATAATCTTATGGAATTAGTGACATGAGCAAAAAGATAGTTGGGAAGTAAGACTGACATTTGTCCTTTGTAAGACACCAGCAGTCCGCGGTATATCAGCATCACCACTTCTGCAAAACCATACTGCTCGGCTCTTAATTCCTTGTAAATCCTTTGCTCCAAGTAAACTGTGATCTGCTCAAATATGAACACACATTAGAATGCACGCAAGTTACCAAACCAATTGAGTAAACATTTCAGGTTCTGAAGAGAAGAGGGGGAACCTTGGGCACTCTAAGAGGGTTCTTGGCGGCGTACTCGCACAGCTTCCCGATCCTCCTATCATTTGGTTCTTCGTCCTACATCGCAAAAGCAGAAGATTATTTTTAATTGATCCGGAACATCGGCTAATGCCTCATCATGGTAACATGAAAGACTAAGTTGACCCAACCTGTGTTTTGGGGAAGATTTCGGCAAGGATCTTCTTGTACCGCTTAACGGGTTGCCTGGAACGTGCCCTGAGCCCAGGGCAGAAGTAGCACAGGGCCCCGCAAGTCGGTAGGACCTTCCGCGATAGCACACCCATCCTCTACTACTACGGGCAGAATTGACAATGCGCATGTTAATTAGTGCCATTGCAACGCACTATAGAAATCCCTAGCATCGGCCCCTTACAAACACCACACAACAATGCCATTGGAGCACGCTAGCATCGATCACTTACAAACACCCCATGACTCAAGTTCTCACAATGTCACAGCCGATCAATGATATGGATTCAGAATTGACGAAATCAGGCTGCGAGTTTTCCCCCAAACCTGGCAGGTCAAGCTACATTTTGGTCAAACCCGGGTTGGTGAATCGAATCATTTTGGGAGTTTAGCCCATGGCGATCGGCAAAGCAGAATCGAAATCGAGCTGCGACACGACCCGGTCGTACGCGGTACCCACGACGACCCAGACGCGCATGCGTCCAGACACAAGCAGGGTTCGAGCGACACCAATGCAATGCGGAAGCACACGTCGAACCAACTAAACATATAGCAGGTTACAAGCACTCTTAGAATCTGAACATTACAAAGTTTTACACATCTCAGCTTATAGAAAATTCAGAGAGAGAGAGAGAGAGAGAGAGAGAGAGAGAGAGAGAGAGATCAAGGGTTCAAGTTCAGAGAAGAAACAGAGGCAGCAGGGGGCGTTGAGGAGGAGGAGCAGCGAGGAAAGCAGAGTAGCAGCGAAGGGAGATTCAGAGAGAGAGCAGCAAGGGTTCAGGTTCAGAGAAGGAGAAGCAGTAGGGAACGGAGGAGAGAAGAGGCAGTAGTTGTAAGCCGATGAGCAGCAGCAGCATTGAGAAGAGAAGGAGGAGCAGCGAGGTAGGGATCAACAGCAGTAGGTTGAAGGAGAAGAAGAAGCAGCGTGGCCAAGTCGGCCTGTCGGTCGGTGGGTCGGGTCGGATCGGATCGGACCGGACTGCGGCGGCGATGGCGGTGTGGGGAACACGGTGGGCGCCTGCCGCGGCGCCGGTGATGGTGGTGGTGGGTGGCGGTCATCCTCTCCGCCTCCTGCCTCGGATTAGACTATGGCGGCGACAGCGACGTGGGGAACGCGGTGGGCGCCTGCCGCGGAGCCGGTGGCGGTGGTGGTGGGTGGCGGTCGTCCTCTCCGCCTTCTGCCAACCGCTCCGGTGAGAGAGACGCGGGCGCGGGTGGGGTGTGGAGGGGAGGGAGATGCGGGTGGGGTGACCGCATCTTGGGCAGACAACAACAAAGAGGAGAGAGGCAGGAGAAAACGGCGAGGAGGAGAGGGTAGGAGGGGGAGGGGAGGGGCGTGACCTCAAGGGGGAGTGGCGGCTGCGCGGCGGCGACTGTTCGGCAGGGAAGTGCGAGCGCGGTATGATGGGAGGAGGACGAGTGGGAGAGGGCGACGGCTAGGTTTCCTGCGAGGGAGGAATGGGAGCAGGGTTGTACACGTGAAATGACCAAAATGCCCAATGGGGGGCACCGAAATAACAGGCGGTGGCACACCAGAGGATGCACAATTCGATCCGACGACCCAGATTGCTCCGTCTGAACATCCGACGGTCTGGATCGTTTTGGACAGCCAATCCAACGGCTGAAAATCCAAACGCACGGGAAGGCTTCATTTTGGTCTGGACTCTATATGAATGCTCACAATTTTAGAACTGCGTGGAAAATAAAGAAAATCAAAGATGTTCGGCATCTGTATCAGTCAACTAGTTGCAGCTGGTGCTTGGAAAAATAAGAGGTGTATAAAGAAAGATGCAAGTAAATACAAAAGGAAAGAAGATCTGTGGCTGTCAGTTTGTAAGCTCGGAACAAAATAAAGTAATCAGATAAACTGGATCCATGGTTGACCAATATATTTAGCCAAAGATCTGAAAAACGAGTACCTTTGATATATTGTAGCATCGGTGGCGCTTGCTCGGAGCGCAGAACAGGGTGCTCTAGTTCATAGAAGATATCCATGAAACAGTTAGAAAGACCTGGAACAATTTGGCTAATACAGATAGTAAGACTGTAGCTGTGATAGTAGATGGTTAGGTATAGTGACTAATACAGATAGTCAGACGGTAACGACGGTGTAGAGGAGGGGCTAGGTCAGGGGAGTGGAGGGGAATGTGAGGAGAGGAGGAGAAGTGGACGAAGTGTGTGTACAATGCTTAGTAAGCTACTCGCAAGCAGTGGCCTGCATTGAGCAAATCACCTTCATGTTTCTAGCCATTCAGATATAATATTAAACTGTATTCACATCTAATAAATATCACTAGGATGGTGTTCATTGCTACAAATAATCTTATGGAATCTAGTGACATGAGCAAAAAGATAGTTGGGAAGTAAGACTGACATTTGTCCTTTGCAAGACACCAGCAGTCCGCGGTATATCAGCATCACCACTTTTGCAAAACCATGCTGCTCGGCTCTTAATTCCTTGTAAATCCTTTGCTCCAAGTAAACTGTGATATGCTCAAATATGAACACACATTAGAATGCACGCAAGTCACCAAACCAATTGAGTAAACATTTTAGGTTATGAAGAGAAGAGGGGGAACCTTGGGCACTCTAAGAGGGTTCTTGGCGGCGTACTCGCACAGCTTCCCGATCCTCCTATCATTTGGTTCTTCGTCCTACATTGCAAAAGCACAAGATTATTTTTACATTGCTCCGGAACATCGGCTAATGCCTCATCATGGTAACATGGAAGACTAAGTTGACCCAACCTGTGTTCTGGGGAAGATTTCGGCAAGGATCTTCTTGTACCGCTTAACGGGTTGCCTGGACCGTGCCCTGAGCCCAGGGCAGAAGTAGCATAGGGCCCCGCAAGCCGGCAGGACCTTCCGCGATAGCACACCCATCCTCTACTACTACGGGCAGAATTGACAATGCGCATGTTAATTAGTGCCATTGCAACGCACTATAGAAATCCCTAGCATCGGCCCCTTACAAACACCACACAACAATGCCATTGGAGCGCGCTAGCATCGATCACTTACAAACACCCCATGACTCAAGTTCTCAAAATGTCACAACCGATCAATGATATGGATTCAGAATTGACGAAATCAGGCTGCGAGTTTTCCCCCAAACCTGGCAGGTCAAGCTACATTTTGGTCAAACCCGGGTTGGTGAATCGAACCATTTTGGGAGTTTTGCCCATGGCGATCGACAAAGTAGAATCGAAATCGAGCTGCGACACGACCCAGTCGTACGCGGTACCCACGACGACCCAGACGCGCATGCGTCCAGACACAAGCAAAGTTCGAGCGGCACCAATGCAATGCGAAAGCACACGACGAACCAACTAAACATATAACAGGTTACAAACACTCTTAGAATCTGAACATTACAAAGTTTTACACATCTCAGCTTATAGAAAATTTAGAGAGAGAGAGAGAGAGCAAGGGTTCAGGTTCAGAGAAGAAACAGAGGCAACAGGGGGCGTTGAGGAGGAGGAGCAGCAAGGAAAGCAGAGTAGCAGCGAAGGGAGATTCAGAGAGAGAGCAGCAAGGGTTCAGGTTCAGAGAAGGAGAAGCAATAGGGAACGGAGGAGAGAAGAGGCAGCAGTTGTAAGCCGATGGGCAGCAACAACATTGAGAGGAGAAGGAGGAGCAGCGAGGCAGGGATCAGCAGTAGTAGGTTGAAGGAGAAGGAGCAGCAGCGTGGCCAAGTCGGCCTGTCGGTCGGTGGGTCGGGTCGAATCGGATCGGACCGGACTGCGGCGGCGACGGCGGCGTGGGGAACGCGGTGGGCGCCTGCCGCGGCGCCGGTGATGGTGGTGGTGGGTGGCGGTCGTTCTCTCCGCCTCCTGCCTCGGATCGGACTACGGCGGTGACGGCGACGTGGGGAACGCGGTGGGCGCCTGCCGCGACGCCGGTGGCGGTGGTAGTGGGTGGCGGTCGTCCTCTCCGCCTTCTGCCAGCCGCTCCGGCGAGAGAGACGCGGGGCGCTGGTGGGGTGTGGAGGGGAGGGAGATGCGAGCGGGGTGACCGCATCTTGGGCAGACAACAACAAAGAGGAGAGAGGCAAGAGAAAACGGCGAGGAGGAGAGGGTAGAAGGGGGAGGGGAGGGGCGTGACCTTGAGGGGGAGTGACGGCTGCGCGGCGGTGGCTGCGCGGCAGGGGAAGTGCGAGCGCGGCGTGATTGGAGGATGACGAGTGGGAGAAGGCGGCGGCTAGGTTTCCTGCGAGGGAGGAATGGGAGCAGGGCTGTACATGTGAAAAGACCAAAATGCCCATTAGGGGGCACCGAAATAACAGGCGGTGGCACACAGGAGGACGCACAATTCGATACGATGACCCAGATTGCTCCGTCTGAACATCCGACGGTCTGAATCGTTTTGGACAGCCAATCGAACGGCTGAAAATCCAAACGCACGGGAAGGCTTCATTTTGGTCTGGACTCTAGCAATGGGATTTTATAATGGCCCTCTTGTTACTTGAAAGGAAATGAAGAATTTTACGACTTTATTCTTCTAGTGGTATGCAACGTGTCCATCAATAATGAGACGTCTATGATGACTTTATAAATCTCAAGATTCGCCTACTCAGTCTCAGTCTTGTTCATAGGGGTAATTGTGTGCGCGCGTACATTCGTATGGATGAGTACATTCGTATGTGAGGGGCCGCATATACACTGTATATGTGTTTCGGGAAAGAAAAAAGATGAGACACTTCGATTTCATTAAATGGGAGAGAGAACAACAAATAGGAAGGGCGGCATATAGTCGGTTCGGAGACTGACTAGACAATTTTTCTCTCGTCCCTGGCGGCTGCAACCCTAGCCGCCGCCAGGGCCAATCTCCCAACGCTGTTCTCCGGCGGCTCCCTTCCGCCGGCGACCTCGGTCGTCGGTGGTGAGGGGGCCGCCGGATCTACGCGTGTGGATCGATTTTTCTTCCTTGTAGTTTAGGTTTTTAGGTTGTTCATCGTTTTTGCTTCGGTGATGACGATGGCGGCGCTGAATAATGAATCTTCGGATCCTTCCCTGACGAGGCCATCGGTCCTATGGTTGGGGATGGATTTGGAAACCAGTCTGTTCAAGCAAGAATGGTGTGGCGGCGGCATCCTCGTGGTGGACCTGTGTCCTCGGGCTCCGCCGTTGCGACGACGTTTGCTCCAGCGTCGCCGCGGAGCTTGGGAGGTAGTCCAGGAGCGGATGCAGATTGTGGTCTGCATCGACGACATCTGGAAGACGGAATATCTGCTGGGCTCGTGGTTTGTGGATGGCAGGTATGGTTTCCTCCTTCGGCGTCTTAGTCGTGGTGGGGTGCCAGATCTGGAGTTCGATGGCGTGTCCGGGGTGTTGCCCCGGTCTGATTCGTTCAACGACAAGGGCTTCACTTTTGGTGAGCTACTTTGGAGGTCCGCAAAGCTGCATATCAGCGATGGAGCCGCGTCGAGCTCGGGTGAGGTGGTGATTCGTCATTCTTTTCTTCGGTGGCTACCGTGGTGGTGCCGGAAGCAGTTGACGAGCGTTGGTGTCAAGTTCAGAGATGTTTTACTATCTTTTCAGTTTTGTCTTGTCGGTTTTTACGTGATTTGTACTTTGTTCTTTATGATATGAATGAGACATGTATTACCATGCAAAAAAAAAACAAAACAACAAATACGGCATTCCCAAGGCACCTCCCCGCAAAACCGTACCCCCAAATTCTCGTTCCTATGGGAAGGCAGCTCGTGCCCGGGCAAGACTGAAGACGAGACCAACCGCGCAGGTAGGCTCGGAAGGGCGACGCAAACCCCCCAACTCGCGCCCACCTTCCACCCCAGATCTCGCGGCCGCCGCCGCCGCCGACGAGATGCTCCTCCTCCGCGGCCTCCTCCTCGCCGCTCTCCTCGCTGTCGCGCGGCAGCCCCTGGCGTCCGCCTCCGAGTCCGACCACAAGGTGCGCACCGCGGTCCCACCACCATAGCCCCTCGTGCCCCTATACCCTAGATCCGAGCCTCCCATGCGCATGTCGTCGGGATCCCTCGAGACGCCGTGCCGGATCTGGACGCAGCCGTGCGTTGTTATCGGTCAATGCTGTCTGGGTGTTGCATGATGAGTTCGAGGTTGCGGCGTGATCTGTCGTTCTGTGATGTGATGAGTTTCACGCCTGGGATTTTGGTAGTACCCTACTTGCGAGAGGAGAGTCTTCGCGGCGTAGAGGCTACTTGACCTTGTTTCCTACAAGAGTAGGACAAAAGAGGTTTTGGAGCCTTGGTGGTATGGACTTTCGAAATAACTCTGGGCAGGGAAAATGGCTCTAACCGTGTTATTGTCCAGTGAATTTGTCAGGCTAGGTGTTGACTCCTGTATAAGATTTTAGATAGACATGCGGCTTTGTAAGATGTGATGGCATGCCATAGGTCATAGGTGCATAAGTCTGGTGCATATCATCGAAACTGAATAGCACTATCCCAAGGCTCTCTTTGGTTGTATTATGTTGTGCTGCACAGCGTACACTGGATCATGTGATAGTTTAGTTATGGAGTATTTTTTTTTTTGTGTGTGAGGGTGGTTGTGGAGCAAGTTTGCTGGTACTATTCCAAGATGAAAATTATCAAGTAATATACTGAGACAACATTTTGGAATCCACCCTGGAACCAAACAGAGGTCATGGTTTAATGTTTATCTCTTATTTTCCAGCTAAGGTTTTGTCTACTCTGTAATGTTGCTCAATATCAAAATATGTAATCATGTGCTGATTAGTGACAAAAAATGTTGGACACATGGTAATTAATTGCAATAGTTAAGCCCATGAATAATTTATTCGACCCTAAGAAGGGAATTTTTTTGGTGCCTTTAAATTTCTGAGTAATATATTTGAGTTGACGTATACTGCCATAAAATTTGCCATGAGAAAGATGTTTCTTTTATTTTCATTCTGGTCATACTTTAACCGGTCCACAATCCCAAATGTTTTTGAAAGGTGAAGTGCTCTTCACAATCAACAAGTCAGCCATGGAATTTAAATTTTCTCAAATGTTTTTGAATGGTGAAGTGCTCTTCACAGTGAACAAGTCAGCCACGGATCTTAAAATTTAAAGTTTCTCTGTTTTTTCTATGTCCTCTTTTGGGTCTTTTTGTCATTATGGTGACCAGTGTGTCGATTGTCGAAAGCATCTTTTTTTCTTCTTCTATATGCTGATATGCAATCATACTGAGAACATGTTTTGCCATCACTAAAGTATTGCAGCTTCTTATATGTCTGTGTGCAGTACAAAATTTCAGAACCAGTCAAGCTCTGGGTAAACAAGGTTGGCCCGTACAATAATCCTCAGGAAACATACAACTATTACAGCCTTCCGTTTTGTCAACCAGCTGAAAACCCTGCACACAAATGGGGTGGACTCGGAGAAGTTCTCGGTGGAAATGAGCTGATTGATAGTCAGATTGATATACAGTTTTTGAGTATGTTGATCTTGTTTGCACATCCTTGTTCTTTTAACTTTTGATTGTGAATTGCTTAAATGCATGTTCTTTCATACTAAGTGATGATTAATCTCTTTTGTTTCAGAAAATGTGGACAAGGGCCCCATTTGCACAATTGAACTTGATGCTAAAAAGGTTCAGCAATTTACTGATGCCATTGAAAGCTCATACTGGTTTGAGCTTTTCATAGGTATGAAGATCCGTATTTGGTTAATTGTTCTATGTTGGCTCATATTTTTCTTGCTTTGGATGTGACTTTTGGTTCTGACATTCTTTGTATGCAAATTTCTTCCTTTGCCTGCCTTGTGAAACCACCTAGATGATCTGCCATTGTGGGGTAGGTAATTCTAAACTGAAATGGCCCATCTTCCTTTAAAGTTTTCTAGCCTTCGCATCATTTTGATAATCAAGTGAGTTTTCATCTGAGCAGGTTTTGTTGGGGAGACTGACAAAAACAATGAAAACAAGCACTATCTTTACACACACAAGAATATTGTTGTTAAATACAACGGTAACAGGGTACGTGCTGCACTTATTTGTGATCTACTGATCTTAAACATTAGCGGAAACCTATATATACTGGTTAATTAATTTTCCTTGTAGGTAATTCATGTCAATCTCACTCAAGAGTCACCTAAGCTTCTTGAAGCTGGAAGAAAATTGGACATGACATATTCAGTGAAGTGGGTGCAAACAAATGTGGCATTTGCACGGCGTTTTGAAGTTTACTTGGACTACCCGTTCTTCGAACACCAGGTAATTCTTGTTCACATTGGTGGCCGGTCTTGAATTTTGAGAAGGATTTTGGTGGTGTCATTTTCAGCGCTGTCATGTTGATTCTAAAGTGATTTCCAACTTTTCATTTTCAGATTCATTGGTTTTCCATCTTCAATTCTTTCATGATGGTCATTTTCTTAACTGGTTTAGTATCAATGATATTGATGAGAACCCTGAGAAATGATTATGCAAAATATGCTCGTGAAGATGATGATCTTGAGTCACTTGTAAGTACCGAGTCTTGGCATTTCTGTTAAATCATGTACTCCTGCTGGACTCCAGTAACATAACTTGTCTCTTTTCACTCTCGTGACCTCTTGTGATAGTTTGACCATGGGTCTTATCATATCATTTTCGTATTGTAAAACTCAGAAGTATAACATTACAAGAGTATTGAGAAGATGAGCCTATCCATCATTTCCATGCAAGGGGTTAAATATCTAGTAATACATAATTAGTTAAACTGTTAAAATAGCAGTGCAGAGCCAGTGAATTTTGTAGCCTGGCGAAGCCACAAGCATAGGATTATGATATATGGCTAATAAGCTGCATCGATGCGTTCCACTGCTGTTAAACATCAATCTGGTTGATTCCCACACTGGCATTTGATTGTGACTGGCATAAATATTTGAATACACACAACGAATCAGTTGCCATGATTCTCATCGATTTCACTTGATCCGCGTGTTAAGCTATGATTTCCTTTCAGGAAAGGGATGTTAGTGAGGAATCTGGATGGAAGCTTGTTCATGGAGATGTATTTCGACCTCCACGCAACCTAATGTTTCTGTCTGCTGTTGTTGGCATTGGCACTCAGATGGCAGCTCTTATCCTGCTTGTTATTGTACTTGCCATTGTTGGTATGCTTTATGTTGGGTAAGCTCAAGACCAGCTTTTGCATCTAATTTTTTCTGCAGTGCTTTTGCAGAATGTAGCAGGTACATAGTTGCAAGTAGTTTAGGATCCATGGATATGTTTATCTGTAAATCAGTTCATACACACTTCCCAATGTGCCAAAGATTACATATTATAAATGAATGAACATATATAGTGTCTTATCCGCTGCATTCACACGAAGGTGGAGACTAGGGATATCTGGATATGGTATAGAAATTAAACATGCCGTTATCTTTGGTATGCAGATTTACCAATGCGCAAGGCAGCAGCAAGCTAGGGCTGATAGCGAGTTAAGAATAAGATAAATAAGTTGTGTTTTTAAATAGGAATAGGAGATTGGGCTCTCTGATTTGTAAAATGCATGAAGAGAGAATTGTAATTTCATGCCATCTCACAGTTCTCCAAAAATCTTTTGAATCAAAGATCCCCAGATTGATTTCCCTAGAGAGAAGACTTGTTTAGATTTGGTTGTTAGGATCCTGCTCTATAAAGCAGCCTATGCACATAGTTGGATTAAGCAAGAAAATGAATATTTTTTAGTTATTCTTCCTGCCTTTCCTCCATGTGGGTTGAGTGCTGATCACTTCCCTAACACACATCTTAGATCTGTAATATTCATTTCTTGCCAAGGTAGGAGACCTGGATAAAATTGCCAGGTTTGCGTTATCCAGCAATAACATTTGTTAAAGTAGCTCTGTAGACTTCTTGTGCAGTGGTCTTATTACTGGGAATGCACAACTCTATATACCATAGCATGGTGTTCAAAATTTCTGAAATTCTGAAGTGAGAAGAAAAGGCACATTTACCATTTCAGCCTAGAGAACATGAAAATCAGTAAAGATACAAAGTTTACTTCTTTAATCATGTGAACTAACTGAATATACAACTGATCTTGGATTTTGTAATAATGTTTAGCTAGTATCAGTTTCCATTATCTTTTTCACGCAACTGAAATATTATGCTCTATTTGCCAGAGAAGGAGCAAACATCACAACCTTACTGTGTTCTGATGACCAGACATATTTCATTTTCTAATGTAAAAAATGAGCATTCAGCTAGTATGAGTTTCCATTAGTGTTTCCCCCCTTACTGATACATTGTACTCTATTTGTCAGACGAGGAGCTATTATCACAACCTTTATCGTGTGCTACGCGCTTACATCTTTCATTTCTGGATATGTTAGTGGCGGCCTCTACTCAAGGAACGGCGGTATGGTCCTCCACATGTTTTTGTTCTTATTTCCTCGGTAGAATTTCCCTATGTTATTCTGCTATCCTGAGTTGATTCCTGAGTTTGAGAGTCACCAGTTCCTCTGTTCTTTATCTTAACTGTGGATTCCTTGATTCGGCAGGCAAAAACTGGATAAAGTCTATGGTCCTTACCGCGTCCCTTTTTCCATTCTTGTGCTTTTCAATTGGATTAGTGTTGAACACCATTGCTATCTTCTACCATTCATTAGCGGCTATACCATTTGGTACAATGGTTGTCATATTTGTCCTCTGGGCTTTTATCTCTTTCCCACTGGTGCTATTGGGAACAGTAGTTGGTCGAAACTGGAGTGGTGCTCCCAATAACCCATGCCGTGTGAAGACAATCCCACGTCCTATTCCTGAGAAGAAGTGGTACCTAACACCTTCTGTTATCTCATTGATGGGTGGGCTTCTTCCCTTCGGCAGCATTTTCATCGAGATGTACTTCGTATTCACTTCATTCTGGAACTACAAGGTAAAAAGAGCAGTATGTTGGTGAACTTTGCTGTGAAGTAAATATGTCTATGCACTTCTATTTGAGTTTCATTTTGTTTGAATTGATGGATAGTTGACAGCTTCTTTTGCCCTTTGCAGGTGTACTATGTTTATGGCTTCATGTTGCTAGTCTTTGTCATCCTCCTAATCGTAACAGTATGTGTCACTATTGTGGGCACTTATTTCTTGTTGAATGCTGAGAACTATCATTGGCAATGGACATCGTTCTTCTCGGCTGCATCAACCGCCTTGTATGTATATCTATACGCTATATACTATTATCATGTGAAGACAAAGATGTCAGGCTTTTTCCAGACTAGCTTCTACTTCGGCTACACGTTGATGTTCTGTCTGGGGCTAGGCATACTTTGTGGTGAGCTTTGAAACTTACCTGTGGTTATTCTGTTTCAAATCAGTATCTGGTCTCTTTTGACCGTTATTTGATGCCTGACACTGTTTTTATTTAGGTGCTATCGGCTATCTGGGGTCAACTTTGTTTGTCAGGAGAATCTACAGAAACATCAAATGCGACTAAACTGCTTCTCCGATTCTGTAGGCTATTAGCACTTAGCAGATCATGTGTTGTTGAGTAACGCTTCTAAGATTCTAATTAACTTTTGGAAACTATACAGGAGGTGGTTCTCCCTTCGTTTACCTTAATATACTTTTATTTTTGGTCTATATCTACCCCGTCATCAAAACTGGCCCCATAAATGTATACCTATATTAGTTCAGGAATTAGTCTCAGTACTGGGATTTACATCTACCTTTATCTTTTTAGGGCGGCCCTCTAGTTTATGTTCATTGATGCAGTGCAGATTCCTCTGAACCTAGATGTGCCCCTACAATGGGTTGCAGCATTCAGGTTCCGTTTTATGTCATATAAAAGCAAACTAGTAATACACTGATGTTACATTCTGAATGAGTAGCGCCCGTTGAACTGTTAGCCAACCAGTTTGAGATGTGCCCCTTAGTTTGCTGGTTTTCATTTGCGATTGAGCAGAACTGTTAGCCAACCAGGTCAAACGAGATAACCTTTAGCTTGCTGACGGTACTATATTTATTACTCCTATTTCAGTTAGCTGTGACTGCACTCTGCGGTGGCCATGTGCTGAATTTGTTTTTGTAATACCAATAAATGCTTGCGTTATTTTCACATCAGAGGGAAACTTGTGTACGTAACATTGGATCCCACATTGGACCATAGACGCGCGGATGATATGGGTGGTATAGTTTTTTCCCTGAAAACCTAACATCTCGGCAGAGGCAACTAGGGTCTCAAGGGGATATTTCGGCGCACGAGCTGGCTACAAGACAAAGCGTGAAGGAGCACAATGTGAGAAAGAATACAAACGAGTTCTTGGCAGCGGTAATAGTGGGCCAAGCTTAATTACCAATTTTAGGGAATTGTAGATAAATAGAGTTCTTAGATATGCAACTAGATGAATAATCCTATTATGGCAAGCAAATTCAGAGCAAAGTAAGCTAGGCAACAATGTACTCTCTTTGTCTCAAAATAAGTGTCTCAAGCTTAGTATAATTTTGTACTAAAGTTAGTATAAAGTTATTATTTTGAGACGGAGGGAGTAATTAGCAAAAAATAAGTGTCTCAAGCTTAGTATAACTTTGTACTGAAGTTAATACAAAATTGAGACACTTATTTTGAGACGGAGGGAGTAATTAACAAACCCGTAAAGCGTGGGAAATGATTAACCAAAAAAAACCCCACAAATAAGTTGATGATGTGGGTTTTATTCCTAAGTTCACACTTCCTTTTTTTTTGAAGTTAAGTTCACACTTCCTTAGAAGTGCTAATCTTCGTTGGAGCGGTGACGGAAGCCTGACTCATCATATTCTCCTCGAGTCAGCCCACATGAACGCCTTTGTTGGAGCGGTGCCGGAGCCAAGGCCCGCCCTATCTGTGGTGAAGGTGCGGGAGTGGGAGGCCGATGGTTTGATGTTGACCCGGCTCACCTTGTCCGCGGTGAAGCTGAAGGATCCAAAGGTGAGGCTCTCCCTCGGCGGGAGGCCAGTAGATGCGGTGGGAGATCAGATCTGGACTCGGTCTCTGGCCAGCACAACCCTTGTGTGGTGCGCCAACTGACGGTACGTAGAACTGTCAGTACCCTCGGTAGGGTGGCGAACATGGCCGGAAGTGCTAGAACGGAGTTCACACGAGTGGGTTACCCAGGTTCGGGCCCTCCGAGGAGGTAATACCCTACGTCTTGCTTCTGATCTATATTCACAATGGAGTTCCTCGTGCTGAGGGATTACAATGAAGATGGTGTTTCTTGCTACCGAGAGTATGACTACAGATGTAGATGGGAATGTCTACACCTAGCCTCGTCTTATATATAGACGACGAGGGCTAGGGTTACATGAGCCCCCATACATAGCGCATCAACTGACGGTATGTAGAACCGTTAGTACCCTTGGTAGGGTATTATCTCCTCTGGAGGGCCTGAACCTAGGTCACCCCCTCGTGTGAACTCCTTCCTGGCACTTCCGGCCACGTTCGCCACCGTAAGGGTACCGATGGTTCTACGCACCGTTGCCGGAGCCAAAGCTTCTAGAAGGCCAGAGAAGGCTCATCGTATTCTCCTCGAGTCACCCCAACGAATGAGCCTATCAGGACTCGGAATCTAAGGCACATAGATCTAACTATAACATATCATATAAGCATGCGAGTCCTCACGCACGGTTCACACGGATGCCACCTTACCTTGTCGGACCGTTTGCATCTTTTGACTTACTTATATGAAATGTCACTAGCAACTATATGACAACTCGTATCGACATGATTAGTTATAAACCAAGGTGGCACAATCGTACTAGTACAAACATAGGTAACCCGACAAAGCACATGCCGGTCATCATCATGTGTACCCAAGTCGTAGCAAGCTGAAGGACTTTAGGAAGCACAAGGAGACATTTCCCTGTAGGGACGTGAAGGAAATATGCCCTAGAGGCAATAATAAAGTTATTATTTATTTTCTTATTTCATGATAAATGTTTATTATTCATGCTAGAATTGTATTAACCGGAAACATAATACATGTGTGAATACATAGACAAACATAGTGTCACTAGTATGCCTCTACTTGACTAGCTCGTGAATCAAAGATGGTTAAGTTTCCTAGCCATAGACATGAGTTGTCATTTGATTAACGGGATCACATCATTAGGAGAATGATGTGATTGACATGACCCATTCCGTTAGCCTAGCACTTGATCGTTTAGTATGTTGCTATTGCTTTCTTCATGACTTATACATGTTCCTGTAACTATGAGATTATGCAACTCCCGTTTGCCGGAGGAACACTTTGGGTGCTACCAAACGTCACAACGTAACTGGGTGATTATAAAGGAGTACTACAGGTGTCTCCAAATGTACATGTTGGGTTGGCGTATTTCGAGATTAAGTTTTGTCACTCCGATTGTCGGAGAGGTATCTCTGGGCCCTCTCGGTAATGCCGGTAACGAGATTGAACTAGGTATTGGATACTGACGATCGAATCTCGGGCAAGTAATATATCGATGACAAAGGAAACAACGTATGTTGTTATGCGGTTTGACCGATAAAGATCTTCGTAGAATATGTAGGAGCCAATATGAGCATCCAGGTTCCACTATTGATTATTGACCAAGAATAGTTTTAGGTCATGTCTACATAGTTCTCGAACCCGTAGGGTCCGCACGCTTAAGGTTTCGATGACAGTTTTATTATGAGTTTGTGAGTTTTGATGTACCGAAGGAGTTGGAGTCCCGGATGAGTTCGGGGACATGACGAGGAGTCTCGAAATAGTCCAGACGTAAAGATCGATATATTGGACGACTATATTCGGAGTTCGGAAAGGTTCTGAGTGATTCGGGTATTTTTCGGAGTACCGGGGAGTTACGGGAATACGGGGAAGAGTATTGGGCCTTAATGGGCCTTAGTGGGAAGGAGCCAGGAGGTGGCGCGCGCCCCTCCCAAGCCCAGTCCGAATTGGACAAAGGGTTTGGGGCGTGGCCCCCCTCTCCCTTCCTTCTCCACTTCCCTCCTTTCCCCCCTTCTCCTAGTTGGACTAGGAAAGGAGTCCTACTCCCGGTAGGAGTAGGACTCCCCTTGGCGCGCCCTCCTCCTAGGGCCGGCCTCCTCCTCCCTTGCTCCTTTATATATGGGGGCAGGGGGACACCCCATGAAATAAGTTGATCTACGGATCGTTCCTTAGCCGTGTGCGGTGCCCCCCTCCACCATATTCCACCTCGGTCATATCGTCGCGGAGTTTAGGCGAAGCCCTGCGCCGGTAGAGCATCATCATCGTCACCACGCCGTCGTGCTGACGGAACTCATCCCCGAAGCTTTGCTGGATCAGAGCCCGGGGATCGTCATCGAGCTGAACGTGTGCTGAACTCGGAGGTGCCGTACGTCCGGTACTTGGATCGGTCGGATCGTGAAGACGTACGACTACATCAACCGCGTTGTCATAACGCTTCCGCTTACGGTCTACGAGGGTACGCGGACAACACTCTCCCCTCTCATTGCTATGCCATCACCATGATCTTGCGTGTACGTATGATTTTTTTTGAAATTACTACGTTCCCCAACAGTGGCATCCGAGCCTAGGTTTTATGCGTTGATGTTATATGCACGAGTAGAACACAAGTGAGTTGTGGGCGATACAAGTCATACTGCTTACTAGCATGTCATACTTTGGTTCGGCGGTATTGTGAGATGAAGCGGCCCGGACCGACATTACGCGTACGCTTACGCGAGCCTGGTTTCACCGTTACGAGCACTTGTGCTTAAAGGTGGCTGGCAGGTGTCTGTCTCTCTCACTTTAGTTGAATCGAGTGTGGCTACGCCCGGTCCTTGCGAAGGTTAAAACATCACTAACTTGACGAACTATCGTTGTGGTTTTGATGCGTAGGTAAGAATGGTTCTTGCTAAGCCCGTAGCAGCCACGTAAAATTTGCAACAACAAAGTAGAGGACGTCTAACTTGTTTTTGCAGGGCATGTTGTGATGTGATATGGTCAAGACGTGATGCTATATTTTATTGTATGAGATGATCATGTTTTGTAACCGAAGTTATCGGCAACTGGCAGGAGCCATATGGTTGTCGCTTTATTGTATGAAATGCAAACGCCCTGTAATTGCTTTACTTTATCACTAAGCGGTAGCGATAGTCGTAGAAGCAATAGATGGCGTAACGACAATGATACTACGATGGAGATCAAGGTGTCGCGCCGGTGACGATGGTGATCACGACGGTGCTTCGAAGATGGAGATCACAAGCACAAGATGATGATGGCCATATCATATCACTTATATTGATTGCATGTGATGTTTATCCTTTATGCATCTTATCTTGCTTTGATTGACGGTAGCATTTTAAGATGATCTCTCACTAATTATCAAGAAGTATTCTCCCTGAGTATGCACCGTTGCGAAAGTTCTTCGTGCTGAGACACCACGTGATGATCGGGTGTGATAGGCTCTACGTTCAAATACAACGGGTGCAAAACAGTTGCACACGCGGAATACTCAGGT